ACACACACTGTCACACACATTGCCAAACACCCCCCTCCCCCTTCCACTCACAAACAAATAAGAACACAAGGAATCACCTGCAGCAGAGCCAGCGATCCCCATGATGACTGGAGGTACCGCGAGGCTGAAGCTGAACACACTGGCCACTAAGGTAGACACTTTGGCCACACGCAAGTCTTTACACGCCAGAACACGTTGGTAAAGAGCCTGGGAGACAAGACATTTATCATATAATAATTATATTACATTTCTAAGGTTAATTGGTCGCTTTTAAGCACAAGGGGGGCTATCCAGAAAAATGCTGTTTTGTGAAAATCGAAGGTAAAGTTTGTGTCCCTTGTTCAGTTTGTTTAAAAGACATGGGGAGTTTCCTCCATAACCAAACAAATGTACACACCAATGAAACCAAACTTCTCCTATAGGTAGGACAATGCCCACTTTTGGTGTAGATCAAGATTTCTGGAAACCCTCGAAATCTGGGTTAGCCTGCTTGTCCTTAAAAGCGACCAATTTTGAGTGCCCATTTCTCGGGCAACTCTTATCGTAGATGAAATAATAATGTCCCAGATGATTCAGAATTTATTTTGCTTTAAATTGGTATGCTACATGAGTGGGTAGTGCAAGGTTTTAACACGATCCGACGATCGGGTGAATACATTATTTTTCAAGTTTCTTTGGGATGCCACTTGCTTGCTCCTTTAGGTTTGTTTCAAGTATTCAGTGTTCGTTTTCACCATACCCCATCCTAAAGGATGAGAGATACAACATGTTTCACCTGGGAATTACTTGAGATGCGACATTATTCATCAGGGAGAGATGTGCGATACGAAATTGATCTCCTGAGAGATATGTGACACTGCAAAAAAGGCTGTACTGGAAGTTAACTAGGTGGACGTTAACAAGGTGGACGTTAACAAGGTAGAGGTTAACAAGGTGGACGTTAACAAGGTGGATATTAACAAGATGGACATTAACAAGGTGGACGTTAACAAGATGGACGTTAACAAGGTGGACGTTAACAAGGTGTATATTAACAAGATGGACGTTAACAAGGTGGACGTTAACAAGATGGACGTTAACAAGGTGGACGTTAACAAGGTGGACGTTAACAAGGTGTATATTAACAAGATGGACGTTAACAAGGTGGATATTAACAAGATGGACGTTAACAAGGTGGATATTAACAAGATGGACGTTAACAAGGTGGATATTAACAAGATGGACGTTAACAAGGTGTATATTAACAAGATGGACGTTAACAAGGTGGATATTAACAAGATGGACGTTAACAAGGTGGATATTAACAAGATGGACGTTAACAAGGTGGATATTAACAAGATGGACGTTAACAAGGTGGATATTAACAAGATGGACGTTAACAAAGAACACCGACATAAAATACAAGGAGAGAAGAAAAACACAGTTCGTGAGGCGAAAAGACGGAGTCAGTCAGTGAGTTCTTTACCTCTCTCAGTAAGATTAAACATTTTAGTTAGGTTTTTGGTTGCTGTTTTTGTTGTTGTGGTTATTGTTGTTGTAGGTTTTTTTGGGGGGGTTGTTTTTGCTTTTGTTATTTCCGATAGCTTCGTCTATCCTTACTTCTTACTCTTGATTGTTTTTTTATTGAAACATTGTATTTATGCTGAGGGAGAAAGACTGTTCTGGTCCTGGCTGTTTAACTCCCTTGTTCAGGGGACATAACCATCAATTGATTACTTTTTGATGGAATATTGTATGTACTACTTCCCTTCCATTAATTTTACCGAATTGACAGCACGCAGTAAAACAACAATCTCCCAGTGGTAGTAACAATCATAGTCTCCCTGCGCAGGGTTTTTTCCGGAGGGGGGGGGGTTGCAGGGAGAAGGGTTGTTTTGTTTTGTTTCGTTTTGTTTGTGTTTTTACAGATTTGGCACCGGTTATTTGTAAGTTATGTAGAAAACATGACAATATGAGAGTAAATTGTTAGGAGTGAAGAGAAAAAAATATAGGAAACCAGAAAATGGTTCGGAAAGTACAGGATGATGACGATAATACCAACGACGATGACAAAAACACTGAAAACCCACCTGCCATGGTATGCCCCCAAAGACACAGAGCAGTGCGGTATCGATGTAAGCCCCTAGCGTGTAGACTGGCACTGTTCCTACGTAGGTGTCGGACACCCTACTCAGGTCCACGGCCGAGTTCGTCAGGGCGAACGGGAAAGCCACCACCTGAAATGCACATACAAACCCTACGTCAGGTACAGTACAACTATACTTTTTTCATCGCTTTTTGGACCGAATTCGAGGTTGACTTTTAAGCTAATTCCAGGTCATCAGCAAATAGAAGCTCATTCAGTTCAGTGATGTTGTCATTTGCTGCTTTCGGGGTTTTATCCATGTAAGTGATAAAGAGAAACAGAGAGAACACACCCTTGTCTCACCCAAGACCTGATGGGTAAACCAGTTCGATAGTCCCTCTGTTAATCTTATGGCGCACAGGCTGTTTTTATAAAGGGCCAATATATTCTACCTCAGTTATCCTGTTACACCATACTCCTCTTAGACTTCCCAAAGTTGACATCTATTTACATGGTCAAACGCCTTTTCCTGGTCCACGAAGACGGTGTTGATGTCTTTGTCATGTGCAATAGCAGTCTCACACAACTGTCAATGCAAAAGTAGCCTCAGTAAACCTATGCATTTTCCTGAAGCCTAACTGGACTTCACTGAGCTGAGTCTCAACAATTGGTCTCATTCTCATTTCCAGTATCTTGACAAACATTTTACTCATATGGCTGAAAAAGGATATTCCTCTGCAGACTCTGCAGTCACTTTTGTTACCTCTATTTTTTTTCAAAATAGGCACAATGACAGCTTGTTGCCAGTCTGAGGGTGTCCTTTTTTACGCTCAAGCCAGGTTAAATTATATCCCCTATAGTTTGCAGGCGTGGCCCTGGTCGAGGTCTGTCCTATAGCCAGAGTTCTCCGATGTGACCGCATAGCTTTATCTCTTCTGTTGTGATGTTATCAACATCTAGAGCTTTGTTTCATTAGAACATGTTGGGTTTCATTCAGCAGTGTTGATGGTTCTGGAGTGGCTTCTTCCGGTGAGAAGATCTCCTCTGGATGGTCCAAAATCGATAAGAGTAGGTTTCGGCCGCCACTTGGACGAAATTCAAAATTAATTCCTACCAAACTGAAAATGTGTGTCCCGGGCGCTCATATGATCTAATGCGGTTGCAAGCGCCGTAAAACAATGTCCAAAACAAGAAGACAACTTACCAGTCCAACAGCGATAAAGATGAGCTGTATGACGTCAGTGTATGCCACGGAGTATAGGCCTCCCAGGAAGGTATAGATGATGGCCACGGCAGCAGACAGGATGATTGCTAGAGTGGCGTTCATGTCCAAGATAATGGAGATGGTAGCTCCTGCAGGAGGTAGGGAGAGAGAAGAGGCATATGTGAACTGGAAGAGAGTTTGTGGGGG